TTTATTGCGGCACTATTCACAATAGCCAAGTTCTGAAAACAGCCAAGATGCCCCGCCACTGACGAATGGATTAAGAAAATGTGGTATCTATACACAATGGAATTTTATGCAGCCATGAAGAAGAACGAAATGTTATCATTCGCTGGTAAATGGATGGAATTGGAGAACATCATTCTGAGTGAGGTTAGCCTGGCCCAAAAGACCAAAAATCGTATGTTCTCTCTCATATGTGGACATTAGATCAAGGGCAAACACAGCAATGGGATTGGACTTTGAGCACATGATAAAAGCTTTAGCACACAAGGGAGGGGTGAGGATAGATAAGACACCTAAAAAATTAGCTAGCATCAGTTGCCCTTAATGCAGAGAAACTAAAGCAGGTACCTTAAAAGCAACTGAGGCCAATAGGAAAAGGGGACCAGGAACTAGAGAAAAGGTTGGATCAAAAAGAATTAACCTAGAAGGTAACACACATGTACAAGAAATTAATGTGAGCCAACTCCCTGTATAGTTATCCTTATCTCAACTAGCAAAAACCCTTGTTCCTTCCTATTATTGCCTATACTCTCTCTTCAACAAAATTAGAGATAAGGGCAAAATCGTTTCTACTGGGTATTGAGGGGGTGGGGAGTAGAGGGAGGGGGCGGAGTGGGTAGTAAGGGAGGGGGTGGGGGCAGTGGGGAGAAATGACCCAAGCCTTGTATGCACATATGAATAATAAAACAATAAAAAAAAAAGAAATGGGTTTATAAAGATGTAGCCATGTCTGTTCCTGACTTTATCTTGGTTTGTGAGGAGATACGGACTTTCCATTCCTATCATTATCTCATACTGAGACATCTTGTTCGCCTAAGTAAGAACCAGAGCTACTTCTGTTTACCAATTTGCCTGATCTAAAGGCAGGACGTTTTAAAATGGCACATACTAAGCTTTTGTATTATTCTAATGAATGGAAACTAAGTACACTACTTTGTTGTGTTTTGAATTATAGAATTACAATTACAACTGCTGTCTACTAGCTATCAACTTTAAAACTGTCTAAAATTTCCTACTACTTTCTTCCACTGTATAGCATGTATTTACAGAATTAGCTTGCTCCCAGCCTTCTTGATGTACTAGATTTTCTTCCCTCAGATACTTTCCTAATTAAGTATCTGTGGTTTTCATTGAAAGTGTGATGAAAACCCTTATGAGGTTTACCATATAGCTCCTGCTTGATCTTAGTATTTTAATAGGAGTACATGATACTGAAGAACTTATGTTCTAATGGAATTTCAAAGATTAGATTGGTTTAGAAGTTAATTTCCCCTAAAATTACATCACATTACTGGAAGGAAGACTGACTCCCTGTTCTCATCATCAGCTTTTTATGGAGTCCTGCCATTTTGTGGTCCTCATGTATAAATACATCTATTTATATAGATAAGGAGGTTTGAACCTTTTATCCATCATCCAAGTATCCTCCCTGCCAAAAGGCAGAATAACCAACTACACAAATTATTCTACCTGCAACACTCAGTTTTATAGACTTGTCTTTCAATTAATTAATCTTCCCCTCCACATCCTTACCCAAATCACAGAAGAATTTGCATGCTTCATAATTCACAAATCCATTGTTATTTTGGCTAGTGAGTTTTTAAAAGCCATCAAAAAATTTGATTCTATGCCTTATTAATTTGGAATTTAAGTATGTGACCAATAGATATTACATGCTACTAGTTGAAAATAATAGTTTTTCTGCTTTTCTTTGGATAATCTCAATATAGTTTTACCTTTGATAATCATTCATTTAGGAGAAACTTTTGTTTCTTTAAGATTTTTTGTTTTCATTTTAACCTATAAAACCTCTCTAAAGAAAAAAAATTTGAAATATGAATTTTGGTCATCATATTTCCTCTGTCTCCCAGTAGAGGCTATATGTTGAATTATACTTGAATTTTATGAAGACAGTGTTTGCTAAAATGCTTGGGAAAATGTCACAACAAAAAATATTTTTAAATTTAAAATTCATTCTGAACATAAAGATCCTAATTTATACTTTACACTTTGGCTGAAAGTTATTTGTGTCCTATATTGGACTTTAATAGCAAGGTAAATTAAAAGGTAACTAGGCAAAAAGGAAAGGCAAAAAGACCATTATAAGTGGCTTTTTGACTATTTGATATTTATTATATGAGAATATTTAGGTGTATTGGTATTTTTCTGATTGAATTTTGTTTTAGATGCCATTCTAAGTATGGTGAATATTGCTGCTAATATTCTGGGAGCAAAAACTGAAGACTTGACAGAAGGTACCTAATCATTTTATGGGTTTTTTAAATAGCTGGTACTCTGTGGTCCTTCTAGTTAAGAAAAGCAAGTAAAAAGCCAAGAAATTTTGAGTTTTCATGTAGAAATAGAGAAATGGTCCAGGGGAAGGTAATAGTCTTATATTAGTCATTGTTTATTTGAATCCCACAAGTTTTTTTTTTTTTTATAAAAGGACCTAGTCTGCATAATAAAAAATCAGTGCACGATTTTTTATTCTTCCCAGCTGTAATAGTAATGTTTTTATCTTTTTACCAAAATTTTGATGCCCTAATAGTACTTTAAATTTCTTTCCTTTTGTATATCAAATAGTTACTCAATTTAGAAAGCCATTTTTTTCTTTACAGAATAGCAAGTAAGAATACAGAATAGCAAGACTTTTGTTTTTAAAAATCACTTAGTTCCAAGTGCAAACTTCAAAATGACCCCATTTCTTCTCATTCTCTTTAATAACTCTTTCAGGTCTAGAAGGGATATTAATCATGTGAGATTACACAAAATTCCTTGTTAGTTATCTGAGAAATTAAGAAATATACATTACTTATAGCTGTGATCTTATGTGATCGTTTCTAAAAGAACTTCAATTAAAAAACAAAAAGTCTGTAGTAGCAAGTGTATTTTATTTTTCTTCTCCCCCAGATACTAAAGTTCTTTATTTGTTATAAAATATTTTCATGGTACAGCTTTTAAAAACTGAACTCAATATGGGCATCTTTCTTAAAATAGGAAATAAAAGTATATCTGAGAATGCCACTGCCACAACCGCATCTAAAATGCCTGAATCAACTCCTGTTTCAGCTCCTGTTCCATCACCTGAGTAAGTTGTACTGTGATATTAATAGAGTTCTATTAAAATGGAGAGCTAAGTATACTAGTATAAAAAAGGACCTTATGATTTATATGTGAAATGGTTAGCTATAAAAGGCTCTGAATCATAGGAGAGACATTCGATAGCCACTTAGATTAGACACCTTTGAGATGCTTCTTCTCATGAGTGTGGACTTGGAGTACACTTCATCCAGACCATACATTTATTTTTTTATATTATATATTACTTTCTTAAAAATATTTCCTTACTGGAAAAAAATGTGCAGGTGTGGGCTTGAAGACAAGTTTTGAAGGCCTGTTTTTTAAGTTCAAGTTTAAAAGCATTGGTCACCTATATGTAGTATCCCTAGAAAGCCATAAAGAATACTCAGAATACCTACAGCAGTGGTATGTATTTGTCACACAGTAAACTCTTAAGGTGTTTCCTTTCCCAAATTGATTTGTATAGGTCTTTTGTAGAAGGGCGCTCAGGGCAAGAATGTATGTATAGGCAACAGATAAAATATCCTTGTTTTTTGGTCTTCTCTACCAGAGATGATTATATTCTTGGTACCTCACCTTCTTACCTATAATAGATAATTAGTTCATTATGATTTGGATAGTTGGGTACGGTTATTGTAGATTTAATTTATGTATATTTCTTTAAATATACTCCCCATAAAAATCTTAAAAGCCCCTTTTCTCTGAGAAACTCTACTTAAGAAGATAGATACTTGAACTTGAAATAGTTCAAGGCAGCACGTAATGAGAATTACAGTGGATATGCTTTGAACCGTAATTCCTAAGTACCATACTAATTAAAAATAAGATTTTTGTATTTTGAAGAGCACAGTGAGAGATTTACATTCTTCTTTGTTTACACTGAAAGTGACTGAAGATGTTTATTGGGTGATTAGGGAGAAAATACAGCATACATGTTAACTGATTCCTGGAAGGACCTAGGAAATCTATTGGGGTTAGTGACATTCTTGGTGTTTCTAATTATGTGGAGTTGTAATTGTTGTTCTTGGTTTTGTAACAAGGCTTCTTCATTTAACAACACATGATTCTTCTTATGTTTTAAAACTAAATAAGACTAATTTTGTATGTATACACGTACACGTAGAAATATTTGTTGAAAGCTATCACATCAGGTAATGTAGTTTTACTTCTCTTGTGTTAGAAAGTTTTTTAATAGGTATCTTTAGACAGTATTTTTTACTTCATACTTCATGTATATTTATTTTTTTTAAATATAATAATTATGTAGCAGTCCTTTGACACTAAATAAAAATGAAAGAATCATGATAGGATATTATTGTTAAATTTATGGATAAGCTACTTTATTTTCTTTTTCTAGGTTTAAATAAGTTTTCTTTTATCAGTAGCTCTCATTAAAGTATATATAAGTGATATGTAACTAATATGCACCAGAATTAGTTTAGTGTTCTCCTTCCCCTTCTTCAGACACTTCCTTTTTGCTATCACAATGTATTTTGTGGGGAATAGGTGATACGCCACTTGAATATGTAAGAAATGTTATTAGGAACTATATATATATCTATATGGCTATCAGTATCTTTCTGTTTAAAGAAATATGGCCTAATTTTGATTAAGTTTGATCTATTTGCTATTTTGTGGATCTAAAATCCACCTTTTAGATATTGCCTTTTTATTCCTTCTCCTATCTGCCATTTGTGACATTAGTCTTTATTTGGAAATATTTCTGGATAATAATTTTTAAAAGTAGGGAAATTTGTGTGTGAAAGTAGTTCCCTTTTGTATTCATATTACCTTAGTTTTTCAGATTGTGCCATTTGTGCTATAAGACTTCACCCAGAAATGAATTTTCTTTATTTTGGAAGGAACCACAGGTATTGCAATTTATACTTCTGTTCCCACCATCTCCACATGCCTTTATCCTCTCTCTCAAAACATATTCCAGAGCCAATGATGGGTTAGAGTTAGTGGCACTATTAGTTTATGGTTAGCCAGGATTTTTATTAAAGTGATTAAATATTTGGCTTTTAATAAGAAAGTTAGCCCAAATGATATTAAAGTTATTTTGGAGAGAGAAATGTATTTCTTCTCCCTAAAGTAGATAATCTTATTTGTGTGTTAGAATTCCTCACATCTACAGAAATATTAACTTTGAGAAATACAGCTGCCTTTGAAGGTAGGACGCTCACGCTTAAAGGGCATTCATAAGTATTAAGAATCATGGATTCCAGTTCTAGCTCTTCAGTAGCTTAATTTCTAACCTGTAAAGTGTGGTGAAGTTTGTAAAGATTTGATGAACGTTTATGGGAAGAAAACTACACTACATGTTCAGGGAATAGAAGTATTCACAAAAAGTTCTTAAGCAGAGATTAAAGAAAACAAGTTTGATATGGTAAATATGGTGGTTTGAGTCACTTAGTTGGTCACTTGATAACTGGACTTTGTGTTACTGGACTTTGTGTTACCATTTCTGAGTAATATTTCTTTATAATGAAAATATTTTACAGGGGAGAAATTCATTGAACATAGTATTTGAGTTTCTTCTGTAATCCCAGGTTCCTTTTATCTTAGGTCCAATATATTTATTTTTCTTAAACATTTTACCATTATATTTCTAATTAAATGATTTATAATTATGGTATGTGTATATATTTCTAGGTATGTAACCACTGAAGCACATGCTCATGACACAGAGCCATCAACACCAGATACTCCAAAAGAGAGTCCCATTGTACAACTAGTTCAAGAGGAAGAAGAGGAGGCAAGTCCATCCACAGTGACTCTTCTGGGCAGCGGTGAACAGGAGGATGAATCTTCAACCTGGTTTGAGTCTGAAACACAAATATTTTGCAGTGAACTGACCACAGTTTGTTGTATTTCTAGTTTTCCAGAATGCATTTATAAACAGTGTTCAATTAGAATTGCTCTTTCTCGGCAGCGCAGCAGAACAATTGTAAGTAAAGGAAAAGATGATTTTGTATCAGTTCAACCTCCATTACTACTTCCTGCAGAGTCAGTAGATGTTTCGGTATTGCAACTTCCAAGTGGAGAATTGGACAATAAGAATACGGAAAGGGAAGCTGAAACTGTTGTTCTTGATGACATAAGTAGTATGCACCAAGGTGATCTGATGAATCACACTGTGGATACAATTGAACTTGAACCAAGCCATCCTCAAACTCTTTCTCAGTCTCTTCTCTTAGACATTACTCCAGAAATCAATTCATTGTCTAAAATAGAAGGTTCCGAGTTTGTTAAACGTGAGGCAGGGCATACACCATTACAAGTGATTCCCCAAGAAAGTTCTGTTGTGGTTGATGATGAAACAGAAAAAAAGGCTGAAAGTTTTAGTTCTACAGAGAAGCTGTCTGTTATCTATGAAACAAGTAAAGTTAATGAGGTGATGGATAATACTGTAAAAGAGGACATGACATCCATGCAAATTACTACAAAACTACCTGAAACAGTAGTACCACCTGTAAGCACAGTCACTATGCTAGATAGTGAAGATGGGGAAGCCAAAATGAATATAGCTGACACACCAAAGCAAATTTTGACTTCTGCTGTGGATTCTTCTTCATTACCCGAAGTAAAAGAGGAAGAACAGTCTCCCGATGATGCCCTTTTGAGAGGGTTACAGAGGACAGCTACAGATTTCTATGCTGAATTGCAAAATTCTACAGATCTGGGATATGCTAATGGAAATCTTGTACATGGATCAAACCAAAAAGAGTCAGTGTTTATGAGACTTAATAATCGTATTAAAGCCTTGGAAGTTAACATGTCACTCAGTGGTCGCTATCTGGAGGAACTTAGCCAAAGGTAGGCTTTATTGTGAGTTAGCACAATCTGCTTCATATGTTAAGTTCAGTACCAGTCTGATCTGTGATTACAGAGGGAGAGGGTTTAATTTTCTCATAATAGTAGTAAGCACAATTTTACCTGGAGAAAGAAAGCTACTTGGAGGTGGATGAGTGGCTTAAGGAATTGATTTTCTTTCTCTTTCTTTTTACAAGTTTTAAATTTACTATTAAGTGACACACAATACCTTTATTAATAAGTTGGTAACAAATTTGGAGTATGAATAATCTGTTTGCCATCTCCTCTTCATAAATAAGTATATATACACATGTACATATATATGTATATACACATAAACATATATATGTACATATATCTGTGTGTGTACATATATGTTGGTACTAGGGTTTGAACTCAGGGCCTTGAACTTGCTAGGCAGGTACTCTACCACTTGAGCCACACCCCAGCCCTTTTTGCTTTTGTTATTTTTTTGAATATAGGGTCTCGCATCTATGCCTATGCCAGCCTGGACCTCTGTCCTCTTACTTATGCTTCCTGCATAACTGGGATTATTTGAGATTGGGGTCTTGAAAGTTTTTTGCCCAGGCTGGTCCTGAACCACGATCCTCTTGATCTTCACCTCCTGAGTAGCTAGGATTACAGGCATGAGCCACCCAGCTAGAAGGTTTTTTTTTTCTTACTATGTTGCTCATTATGAGCTCAAACTTTTTTTTCTTACTATGTTGCTCATTATGAGCTCAAACTCCTAGGCTCCTTTGATCCTCCCACCTCAGCCTTCTAAATAACTGGGACCGTAGGTGTGTACCACTGTGCTTGGTGTCACTTTCTCTTACTGTTGCTTAACTTTAGCCATTTTTGCTATCTGATTCCCAGAGGGTACATGTGAAAAAAATATACAGACCTTAAAGCTTATAGTGAAACTTGACCAGGATCATTTAAGAGCTTAGGTAAGCAAAGGCAAGAGTGGACTAAACTGAATGATTAGGCATTATTTGCAATTTTCACTCTTTTCAAATTGTCATAATTTATGCCCTGTGCTCCTAAGTGCCAGAGGCAGTGCCAGTATACTTCATGCAGTTGCTAGGACTGTAGGCACAGTCCTCCATTTTTAAAAACCTGTGAACCTATATACTTTTGTATTCCTTAAGTGTCCAGTGTCTGTTGTTAGCAGACACTGTCCAGCATTTTGCAATTACCTAGGCATCAAATATCCAGAGTTCTTGAAACACCACATTTTCTCATGCCTCTTAAATTGAAGCACTACTTGTGAGATGTGAGTAAGGTAGCCCATTGTCTCCTAAAGTTTGTTAATTCCTAGTTTATACAGAGAATTTTTTGGTAAATTATGTGCATGTATACATGCCTGCTTGGCTACCACATACCTGCTCTTGCCTTTCCCTATTCTAATCTGTACCACAAAGGAACCACAGAAATCATTACATTTTATATAGCAATGAGATGCACAGAATTGATGTTTAGGTACCTGATATGTCAAGGACCTCTTTATTATATTTTTGTAGGTGCTCCTATATTACACAGGCCTAAATAAGAGTCATTTTAAAATAGATGTATATGTCACAATCAGAAGTATGTTTCTGGTACTGAATACAAAATTTAATTTAAACCATTTCTTACTCTGTAGGTACCGAAAACAAATGGAAGAAATGCAAAAGGCTTTTAATAAAACAATAGTAAAACTTCAGAATACTTCAAGAATAGCAGAGGAGCAGGTTGGTTTCTTCATCCTGTATTTACATTTTTTTTCCTATGGAGATAAGACTTGTGAATTTTGTGGGGTATATTACAGTAATTCAACATATGTATGCAATGTGTAATAATCAAATCAGGGTAAGAAGCATTTCCATCTCTTCAATCATTAACCATTTTTATGTATTGAAAAGTTAGTACTCTTCTTTTCATTTTGAAATATATCATAGATTATCTTAACCCTCAGCTTCCCACTGTGCTAAAGAAGCAACAGAAGTGATTTCTCCACTCTGATTTGGTGATCCTTACTGAGCTTCTTTTTGCCTTCACTCCCCCTGGCTTTCCCTATATCTAGTAATCAGTTTTACATTCCATTTCTTCTAGTTTCACAATGAGTGAAAGCACATGGTATGTATCTTTCAGGGTCTGGACTATTTCACTTGACATAATGTTGCACATGACAAGATTTTATTATTTTTTATGGACAGATAGTATTTCATTATGTAACTGTACCATATTTTCTTTTTTCTTAAACATTTTTACTAACATATATTAGTTGTACTGGAGAAGGGGGAGTTCATTGTGATACTTCCTTATTTGCTCACTACCCCATCATCATTCTTTCTCATCTCCTTCCACACTTAAAATAATTTCAGTAGGTTTTATTGTTGTATTTTCATAAAATATAATACGTTGACAATATTCACCTTCCTTTACCCTCTCCATTCCCACTCTACCCTTCAACACTCTTAACAGGACGTGTTTTACATTCCAGTCTTTCATTTTTCAAGTGTATATTCATTGTTCAAAGGGGTTTCCCTGTGATATTTCACCATGTATTGTGCTTTAATCAGTGTAACCTACCCTTTCACCCCACCTCCTGTTGCTTAACAGCTTTCAGTGTTTCCTTATGCCATCTTCTTACACAAATATAATGTATATTGATATTACTCACTGTCATTTCTTCTTCCTTCTCTTCCTAGTTCCCTCAAACAGTCCCATTACTGCAAACATGTTATAAATATGATTATACATATATCATTTGTGTATACATTTATATTTTGGATCTATTTTCCACATGTAATAGAAAATATGTGACCTTTGTCTTTTTGAACCTGGTTTACTTACTTAACGTGATCTCTGGTTCCACCCATTTACCTACAAATGACATAATTTCATTCTTCTTTATGGCTACATAGTATTCCATTGTGTGTATATACTATTTTCTTCTTGTCCTCTTTTTTTTTTTTTTTTTTTTTGGTAGTACTGGGGTTTGAACTCAGGGCTCACACTTGCTAGGCAGGTCCTCTACCATGTGAGCCACTTTGCTACCCTACCCTATACCACATTCACCAGTTTGTAGGGTAAATAGTTCTGCAGTAAACATGGATGTACAAGTTTTTAATTGTATCCTGACTTAATATTCCTTTGGATATATGCACAGGAGTGGTATCACTGGATCCTATGGTTGTTGTATTTTTAGCTTTTGGATGAATCTCCAAACTGCTTTCTATAGTAGATGTATTAATTTACATTCTCACCAGTGGTGTATAAGGGTCCCTTTTTCCCCCACATCCTCACCAACAGTTGTTTGTGTTCTTGATAGCCATTCTGAGTACAGTGAGGTAAACTCTCAATGTAGTTTTGATTTGCATTTCCTTTATAGCAAGGGATGTTGAGCATTTCTTCATGTATTTATTGGCCATTTTTACCTCTTTCTTGGAAAGAAGTTCTGTTCATTTGCCCATTTCTTCATAGGGTTGATGGTTCTTTGGGAGCTTAGCTTTTTGAGCTCCCTATAAATTCTGTCAGTCTTTTCTCTTATTTACTGAGCTATTGGAGTTCTAGTCAGGAAGTTATTGCCTGTGCATTCCATTGTTTTCCTTGTTCTGTAGCTTCAAAGTTTTAGGTCTTGTATTGAGATCTTTGACCCACTTTGGATTGAAACTAGGGTGAAAGACAGGGATCTAGTTTCAGTCTCCTACATGTGGATAGTCCATTTTCCCAGTACCATGTATTGAATATTTTGGGCTCCTTTGTCAAATATTAAATATTTGTAGCTATGTGGATTTATCTCTGGGTCTTCTATTTTGTTCCATTGGTCTTCATGTCTATGTCAGTATCTTTCTGTTTTATTGCAAGGGCTCTGGAGATATCTCAGTACCTTGCTGTTTTTGCTCAGGATTGCTTTGGTTATTCAAGGTTTTTTATGCTTCCGTCTGACCTTTAAGACTGATTTTTTTAGGATTTGATTGATAAAAAGTGTTAGGTTGATTCAGTTTTTCTCCTGATAGCTGATAATTAAGCTTGGATGTGATGTCTTATTTGAAAAGTTATCTAGTTATTGGTATCAGTATCTCCTGAAGAAAATATTCTTGAGCATTGCCTATTATTGTTTTTGTGTATATAGTAAACATTTCTGCAACATTGTTAATTCTGTAGAATCTTTTGTGGTTTTCTATGTAGATACTCCCATTGCCTACCGATAAAAACAGTTTTATTCTTTTTGTTGCTTATGCCCTGTTATTTTATGTGTGGGCTAGAGCTATATAGTAGAGATACAGTAGAGAGTATATAGTGGTGATAGTGATACAATAGAGTGGTGATAGTGACCACTCTCTTGTGTTGCTGATTTTGAGGGAACAATTTCAGTATTGTACGTTAAGTATAATGTGTGTGCTATCGCAGTAAAGACATTTTTTACTTTTCTCAAAGGTTATTTGGGGCTAACCGATGGTGAGGTGAGAAGCCTTAGACTGAAGAGCTGCCTCTGCCTGCCCTGTTCATGGCACATTGTGATTGTGGTTCTTCCCTTACTGGTTCAGGAATTCTTTACATTTTCTGAATATAAGCTCTTGTTAGAGATATGGTACGCAAATACTTTCTCCTAGTTCCTTACTGGTTTTCTCATTCTCTTTACAGTGTGGTTTGAGGAGCAGCTGTTTTTGATTTAATGAACACTAACTTATCAGTTTTTCTTGTTGCTCTAGGAAATCTTTGCCTAAAGCAAAGTCACAAAGATTTTTTCCTATGTTTTCTTCTACAGTGTTATAGTTTGAGTTTTACATTGAATTTATGATCCATTTTGAGTTAATTTTTGTGTGTTATAAGCTATGGATCAAAGTTCTCTTGAGAAGAGGAATGGAAAAGAGGAGTCATGAATATCGATTTGTTCTAGCATTGTTTGTTGAAAGACTGTTCTTTGCTGAGTTTTCTTTGCACTTTTGATAAGAATCAATCACAATACATATGTGGGTATATTCTAGGTTTTTTTTTTCTGTTTTGTTGATCTGTTCAGTCTGTCCTTATGCTTATACCACAGTATTCTGATTACTGTAGCTTTATAGTAACTCATGAGGTCAAGTAGTATTAAGTCCTCAAACTTTGTTCTCTTTCAAGATTGGTTTGTTTATCCTGTTTTTTTGTTGTTTTTGTTTTTTGCATTTCCATATGGGTTTTAGAATCAGCTTGTTTTCTAGATCAGTTTGGATATTGACATCCTTACAATATTAAGTCTTCTGCCCCATGAACACAGTATTTACTTAGGTCTTTATTATTTGAATACAATAATTTCTTTTTCCTTTGTATGTAGTAGCTATGTCCTGAACCTTAAAGACTTGTATAAGTACTTTTCAGTGATCTTGTATATTACTAACTACTGGAAGTAAGTTGTGAATAAAATATTAAACAGCTTATTAAATTTAATAGCTTATTCTTAAAATATTTATAAACATTTATTAAATCATTCAAAAGAAACGATTTAATGAGTCACCTTAGCATTTTAAAAAGATAAAATAGGATAGAAAGTATCACAGAGGATCAGATCACAGCAAAGGAAATAAGTTAAGTGAAATGTTTTGTTAGTTTCACGCATCCCTCCTTACTCACATACACAAATGAGACTTAAAACTTTTTTAATCAGAATTTGAAAAACTTAGATCTAGAATAACAAATGGTTATATAGATATTTGATACCAGGTCTTAAGTTAGAGTTTTAGATTTCCTTGATTCTGTTCTGCCCACTTTCCTCCTCCCCAAATTTATTAATAGGTTCAAATTTTTGGTATAGTCTAACTCATAAAGGTTTATAACTCTGTGATATGTAATTCCATAATGCATGCATTCAAATGATACTTTAAAGAAATGTTTTATTGATTATAAAAGTTTCTAAATTTCAGAGCTATCTAAAAAATAGAAAGATGAATTTTTTTTATTGGTAGGATTTTAGCATTGATTGCATGACCACTGCAGGTATTTGACTATGTGACATTCTGAATTCCATTGTAATCTTATTGAGTCCACTTTGTATCCTGAAATACTCTTTTTTTTTCCTTAGAGTTCCATTTACTTTTTAAAAATTTTTTCTTTTATTTATATGTGCATACAATGTGAAATACTCTTTAAAATTTTTCAACATGTCCTTCTACCAACTGCTTTGCTAAAAACAAGACTATCAGTTTTTGCATATAGGTGGTTATACACTAGTTCATACATATGGAACCCATATTAATTTGAAAAATAATGTATTAGCTTTTGTTACAGTTTTCTACATTGTAGCAGTGAGTGGTAAAAAGAAGGAAGGGCAGTCCCAGATCCATGGAAATGTTTTGAGTTTTTAAAATTTCTGGCCCAAATTTGTAATATTTATTCATTAAGATCTGATTGGAAATACATTTTTGGAAGAAGTTGTTGTGGTTCTTCAGATTATTTTACTTGAATTTATAATGTAGTTAATACGTAGATGAAACACAAAGAAAAATAATACTTAATCTCTCCTATTGTAGGATCAGCGGCAAACTGAAGCTATTCATTTGCTACAAGCACAGCTGACCAATATGACACAGCTTGTTTCAAACTTATCAACGACTGTAGCAGAACTAAAACGAGAGGTAATTGTGAGACACATTGGTTGTTGTGAAGGCAGGCTTGTAAGCATGAACCTGACACATACAAACAAACCAAACGTCATTTGCTGAGAACTTTTTCAGAACATCAAAATGGCAGCTTAGAGTGATGGAAATATACTATAAGCTTTTATAAAATTTGGCTTTCATAATTTAGGTCTTACCTGAGTAATATAGATTCAGGGCTCTTCTGTCAGGTCTTCTGCAAAAAATTGACAGTAGCAACACATTTCGTTTTTCAATCCAGAAGGCTAATGAAGTTGTTCATTAGTAAAGCAAAACTTTAATTAAGATTTAGCAAGTATATATTCAGCAACTAGTATATGTAAGGCATGTGCTATCCAGTTCTAGGTTGGTATGTACACTAGTGAATTGTCCCTGACCTCACAGGTTTATACTGTAGGGTAGGAACAGAATAGATGCAGTAAATATATAAACATGATAATTTCTTCTCATTACAAGTGCTATGAAGAGAATGAAATTAGGTGTATAGGGCAGTAGTAATAGGATTTGATACTTTAGCTGGTGGTTTTGCAAGTAGGTGTATAGGGCAGTAGTAATAGGATTTGATACTTTAGCTGGTGGTTTTGCAAGTCTTATCTGAAGAAGTAGCTTTAGAAGTGAGTACTCAAGAGGACTTAGCAGCCACACAATGTGCAGTAGGAGAACAAACCTGTTACTAGCAGAATTAGGCTAAAGGACCCAAAATTGGAAACAATGTGAAATGTCTGAGGGCAGAAAGAAAGCTGGTGTAGCTGGAGCAGAATAAGTGAGATGATTTGTGGCTGAAGAATGGGCTGAAGATACTGGCAGAGGCCTGCCTGGTCGTACTAGATTGTTTGACAATTTAGAATTTGAATTTTATTCTGAACAGTGCAAGTCATTAAGTAAAGAAATGATGTGGATCATCTCACTAATGCTTCACATGTTGAGAACTCCCCACTTGTTGCCCTGTAGAAATTGCCTGTTGATAGATAGCAAAAGCAGAGCATGAAACGCACCAATTAGGAGGACAGAAGTTTCCGTAACTTGAGTTAGGTAATATTGGCTTGGACTATGATTTTAGACATGGAGAATAGTAAGTTTGAATTCAGGACATATTTAAGAGGTAGAAAAATAAGACCTTGCTGAAATATTGGGTATGTGAGAAAGAAGAATTAAGGATGATCTCCAGGTTTTTGGTTTAAATAACCGAGTGAGTAGCAGTTCACTTTTGCACTGTGGGAAAGACTAAAAAAGCACATTTTCGTTCTCCCTGAGGAAGAGATAGTGTAAATAAAAAACCAAATGTAACAAAATGTTAATGAAAGTAGGTGAAGGGCATAAAGATGCATGGTCATTGTACTATTTTTACAACTTTTCCAAAGGTTTTAGAAATGTTCAGAAAAACAATTGAATGGGAAGAAAGCAGAAGAAGAAGAAAAAGTTTTAATTATTTTTGCTTAACTGTTTTTTCATCTCAGGTTTCAGATCGACAAAGCTATCTTGTCATATCTTTGGTTCTCTGTGTTGTCTTGGGGCTGATGCTTTGTATGCAGCGTTGTCGAAACACTTCTCAATTTGATGGAGATTATATTTCAAAACTTCCTAAAAGCAATCAATATCCAAGTCCTAAAAGGTAATACCTGTATTGTGTTTTATAATTTTCTTTTCCACTATGCTTTTTATATTTTGGAAAATTTTTGAACAGATAAAGGAATACCGAGGTACCTCTAGTACTTTACCCTTATGATAGTCTTGAAACCAAAATATTAAAAAACATCATTAGGGTAGTCTTATTAACTTATAATAGAGAGAAACACTAACAGTAAATGCTTAAAATGCTTTTTTGAAAAAGGTGCCCAAATGTGAAATTCAAAGGAGGAAGAGAATGGGAATTGCAACATAGTACCTTTAGAGAAGAATTTTTTTTTACTTTAATAGGAATAATTGGTGCATTAATTTAGATTAGTTCCATGTTGTATGTATAGTTCTAAATAGCCCTCATTTCACCTCACAGAGTAAATTATACGTAATGTACTCATTGTGTCCCATGTTGATTTTTCTTAATATGTTAGGTGTTTCTCTTCCTATGATGATATGAATTTGAAAAGAAGAACTTCATTCCCACTCATCAGATCCAAGTCTCTACAGTTTACTGGCAAAGAAGGTAGATTTTTATGGATATATAACATATATATACACATATAAACATGAAACTAGCTTGCTTCTGGCATAAATATGATGTCAGTGTCCTGTTTGTGCTATGTCAAGGCCACTTTATCATTCACATTTAAAATCTCTTTGTCCTTTTAAAAGTCCAAAGGGTGGGGAGGGGGGACTTAGTTTATTTAATTAGCAATGGATAGTTTTGTTTGCACATGCTCCTGTTTAGAAGTATTTCTTTTTAGAAAGGGATGTTTGAGAAAGTTCAACAGATATGGAAATCCTGAATGTGCTTCCATAGCATCCTGTGCTTTTCTGCCTCCTCTTCCTATACAGGTAGGACCCTTTTTGTCTTTAGTTTAGGACTGTGAGGCGCTTTCTAAACAAAGATCTACTCTTTCTCTTTTATAGCCCCAGAATCTATAATTGGGTTCTCTTGTCTAACATTCAGTAAATACTTACTTTTTAGTGAATAGATATGTATTAAGTGGTTATTTTCCTTTTCAGTACCATTTTAATTAGTGCTTATTAAGAAACTTAGAAATTGTCTTCATAGTGGTGTTAAAATAACCAATTACCTATTTCAAATAGGAGTGCTTTCTTAATAATCACTGGCCACTCTCCCTTTCTTTACGATTTCAGTAACTGGGTAGCTTGTTTCAGTTGATTTAATCAGTCAAATAATCATTCCTTTCTAATCACAAAGCTTTCCAGACTTAATCCATTGCATGTATATTTCCTTAGGGCTAATAAATCTCTTCATCCTTCCTACTGTTTTCTTTCTTTTTCTTTTTGTTCTTTTTGGTTGATAGGTCTTTTTTAAGTGAAATTTCAGTTGAAATTACTTACTAGAAAGTATAATCATATATGTAAAGCTTAGTGAATTTTCACAAACTCAGTATGCCTGTGCAAATCCAGATTAATAAGCAGAACGTTATCCAGTACCTCAAAAACTTTTGTGCCCTTTTAATAACTACCCATACCCTTGCAGGGTAGCCAGTATTTTGATTTATAACTATTGTGAGAGTCACCAACTATTGTGAGTGTAGTTGTTTATTTAATAGAAATTAGATACAGTACGGTATTCCATAATGTACATATACTGCACACTGTTCATTTACACTTGAACCATTTTCATTTTGATGCTATATTACATATCTTTGAACATATACATGTATTTTTGTTGGATGTATTCCTGGAAATGGGAACAATAGTTCATAAGGTATGTGTATACTCAGCTTTAGTAAATACTGCCACACATTTCCAGAGGGTTGGGTGAATTTGCTATTCTATCAGTTATGTATACCCCGCCATCAGTTATTTCATTTGTTCTTCATCCTAGTAAATATTTAGTTTTTTGGATCTTGTAGACATTCTGTTGGGAGGATATGCATTCATTATTTGAAATATATTTGTAAAATCAGGATATACATTGAGTTTTTTATCATTTCTAGTTTTACTTTAAGTGAAATTATGGCTATTTTAATATTATCCTTCTAACTCATTAAGGCCAAATAATGTAGCCTTTGTAACTGATAACAGAATTGCTTCTATCCTAGATAATAGTGTCATCTTGGCTTATCTTTACACTTAAAGTTCAGAGCATAGTTAGGAGACCAACTTTAATCCTAATTCCACTGTTCATTTCTTTACCTGTTTGAATTAAATCTCTTATGGCATCTATTGTAGTCTGCTTTGATTTTACTTGTCTTGTACTTACTTATTTTCATTTCTAAGCTCTATGAGAAGGAACTGTGCCTAATTTTTTATAAATTAACTGGTTAAAAAAAAACAACATAAAATTTGTCATCATAACCATTTTTAAGTGTGCAATTCAGTAATGTTAAGTAAGCTCATATTGTAAAATGGATGAATATTTTCATCTTACAAATCCTAAATCATATGCCTATTAAATAACAACTCATTTTGTTCCTTCTCCATTCCACCCCTTGTAATGATTATTGTATTTTCTGTTTTGATGAATTTAAGAAGTACTTTAAGATACCCCATGAATTATATGGTAATTGTCTTTCTGTGATTGGCTTATTTTACTTAATGTGTTCTCAAGGTACAGTCATGATATAGCATGTGATTGGATTTACTTTTTAAAATGAATAACAGTTTATGTATGCATGTATGTACCACATTTTCTTTATCCACTTATCTTTTAATGTACATTTAAGTTCCCCTCTTGGCTTTTGTGAATAGTACCACTATGAAGATGGGTACATAAATACCTCTTCAAGATCCTGCTTTCATTTCTTCTGGATATGTACCTGGAAGTTGGATTGCTGGATCATATGATAACTCTTTTTAATTTGTCTTTTATTATCTCCATACTATTTTCCATAATTACTGTACCACCTTACATCCCTACCAACAGTGCATCCAGTTTCTCCACATCATCACCAGCACTTGTATTTTCTGTTTTTTTAAAATAACAACTATTCTAATGGGTGGGAGATGACAGCTCATTGTGGTTTTGATTTGCATTTCTTTGATGATTAGTGATGATCAGTGTCTTTTCAAAATGGTTGTTGGCCATTTGTATATCATTTTTAGAGAAATGTGTTATCTAAGTCCTCCGCCTGTTTTTAATTGGGTTTTTAGATTTTTGTACTAGGGGTTGTTTGTATGTTAGCAGATACATGATTTACAAATATTTTTCTATTCTGTAGCTTGCTTTTTTCATTTTCTTTTGACACACAGAAGTTTTTAAGTTTGATGCAGTCCCATTTGTTTACTTTTGTTGCCTGTACTTTTGGTGGCATATTTAAGAATTCATCATTAAGTCCACTGTCATCAAACCTTTCCACAACATTTTCTTCTAGAGGTTTTATAGATTTAAGTCTTTATTTTGTGTTTGTATATGGCATAAAGGTCCAGTTTCATTCTTTTGCGGGTGAATAATATCATTTTCTATGCACCGTTTGTTGAATAGACTGTCCTTTTCCCCAGTAAGTAGTCTTGGCACTCTTGTCAAAAATCATTTGACCATATGCTCAAGGATTTATTTCTGAGCTTTTTGTAAGTATTTTATTCTTTTTGATACTGTTATTAGCAGAATTATTTGCTTAATTTCCTTTTCAGATTGTTTATTGCTAGTGTTTAGAATTACAACTGAATTTTGTGTGCTTATTTTATGTCCCTACAACTTTGCACAGTTTACTGGTTCTAAAAGATTTTCAAGTTTTCTGCATAAGGTCATGTCATGAGATCAGAATAGTTTTACTTCCTTCATTCCAACTTGGACACCTTTTATTTCTTTTTCTTGCCTAATTTCTTTGTCTAGACTTCTAATACCTTATAAAATAGAAGCAGTGAGAGGGGCAGGCATTCTTGCCTTATTCCTGCCTATAGAGGAAAAGCTTTCATTCTTTTACTATTGAGCATGATGTTAGCTATGGGCTCTTCCTAAATGACCCTTATGTTGAAGTAGTTTCCTTTTATTGCTAATTTATTGTGTATTTTTATCATGAATCTTGTCAAATGCTTTTACTATATCAATTGAGATGACCTTGTGGGTTTTTTTTTTTCTGTCCATCCTTTTAGTGTGGCATATTGCATTGACTTAGTTTTGTATATTGAACTGTCTTTGCACTTCGTGAAATAAATGGATTCATGGTGACTCTTTTCAATGTGCTGTTGAATTTTGCTTTGCTAGTATTTTGTTGAGGATTTTTGCATCAGTCTTCATAATGAATATTGGGTCTGTAGTTTCTTGGTGGCTTTCATGTCATGGTAATGCAAAATGAACTTGGAAATGTTCCTTCTTCTTCCCTGTTTTTTTTCCTGGGTTTTTGTTTTTTGCTTTTATGGGGAGAAAGGGGGGTTATACCTGTGTAATCAATTGTATGTGTGTTTTTCTCATTATGATAGTGCTTCTTATTTCTTGTTTAAACAGAATTTTTTATTCCTTGGTTGATAATCTCCTCTATTTTCTTGTAAATGTTTGTTTTTCTCCTTCACTTTTAGATCTTTAACCCATCTTAATTGATTTTTTGTGTATAGTGTTAGGTAGATATATTGGTCAGATTTCCATCTCCATAACAAAAATAACTAAGAAAAGTCAGCTTGAAGGGGGAAAGATTTATTTTGTCTCGTATTTTCAGCCCATGGTCATTTTACTCTGTTCTTTCTGGGTCTGTGGTAAAGCAAGGTACATGGCCAGGAGCACACAGTAAAGCTGTCCACTTCATGGAGGCCAGGAAACAAAAAGAAGGGAAGGGGCGAGGGTCCCAATATTCTATTCAAGGACATGCCTTCAATGATCGTCCTCCAGCTAGGCCCCCACCTCCCAATAGTGCTACCAGCTATTGGAGATCAAGCCTTCAATACATGGGCTTTTGCAGGACCTAACTGTAGGTTTGCCAATATAAAATTTTATATGGATTGTTCATTAACTCGGGTTTCTTGGCCATTATTGGCTTTCTGCATTTTTATGTAAATTTAGAGTCATCTACTAAATGTTTCATCCAAAAAATGTAGTAGGTTTTTGGTTGAGATTACCTTGACTCTACAAGCCAATTTGGGAAGAATATAGTTTATGTTTGTTGATGTGTGTGTGTGTGTATTGCTAGTATATAGAAAAAAATACATTTTGGTGCAGTTAAGTTCACTATGTCATATTTGTTTGTGGGATATTATAGTCTCCAACTCTGATAGTGACTTATTCTATTCCTTTTTGTATTTCTATCAGTTTTGCCTCACTGTGATGCCCTGTTGTAATACATACACATTTAGGATCATTGACCCCTGTATTATATATCTAAAGTCTGCTCTGCTTAAAATTGATATAGCTAACTACTACTTTTGTATTTAAAGTGAGTTTCTTGTAGACAATATCTTGTTTTTGATTCATGCTGACAGTCTCTTTTCATTAATATATTTAGACCTAGACCATCAATTTTTAATATAGTTGATATAGTTAGGCATTACCATATTTGTTACTATTTTCTATTTGTTAACCATATTCTTTGTTCCCATTTTTGTCTACTACATTGTTTCTGCCCTTTGTGGTTATAATTGAATATTTTATGATTCCATTTATCTCTTCCTTAGCATATCAGTTATATGTCTGTTTAAATTTATTTTAGTGTTTGCTCTAGAGTTTGCAATATATATTTTCCTCTAGTCCATGTCCACTTTCAGGTAACATTGTACACACAGTGTAAATACCTGTAATAACAGAATAATCTTAATTTTTCTGTCCCATCGCTTATATCATTGCTGTCATTCATTTTACTTGTACATATGGACAAATGGGATATATCTGTGTACTTGATACATCATTGGTGTTATTTTGAATAAACTATTACCTGTTAGATCAATTAAAAATAGGAAGAGTAAAAGTTATTTTTTTTTACCTTCATTGTTCTACCTTTATGTAGATCTGAATTTCTTACCTATATTACTTTCCTTCTCTCCAAAGAACTTCTTTTAACATTTCTATTAGGACTAGTCTACTGGCAACAAACTCCCTCAATTTTTGCTTGCCTGAAAAGCCTTTATTTCTTCTTCACTTTTGAATGCATAACAAAGATAAGAAGTAGATCTGACTTTTCCTCAAAAACTAGGAAGTTCTTAGCTGTTACTCTTTATATATATTGCTTCCATTTCTTCTTCTTTGTTATCCTTCAGGTTTTCATTTTACATTTCTATTTACATCTCTTTTAATTGTCCCATAGTTCTTGAATATTTTGTCCTGATCTTTTCAATCTTTTTGTTTTTGAAAGTTTTTATTGTCATATTCTCAAACTCTTTCTTTAAATATGTTTAGGTTACCATGAGTCTGTCAAAGGTATCCTTAATGTTCTGTACTTTTTCCATTAATGTCCTTAGCATATTAATCATAATTTTTTAAAAATTCCAATCTGATAATACCAAGAAGGCTCTTCAAACTGCGGGTGTTTTTTTGCCTTTTTTTTTAGCATGCCTTGTAATTTGTTGTTGTTGTTAAGATATGAACATGATGTACTTATTGAGTAAATAAGCCTTTACTAATGTAAGAGTGAGGTAGAGGTAAGGGGAGCATTCTGTAGTCCTGTGATTAGGTCTTAGTCTTTTGGATAGCCTGTTCCCCTGTATTGTGAACTTCACCAGTGGTTTCCAGTCCTCTCCTAAAAAAAATCCTCCTAAGATCTTTCCCTTGTCATTACTTCTCTTAAATTTCTGAGATATTATTTTCCTTTTCTTTAATCCTGTTTGAGGTCTGTTGGGCTCTTTGAATCTGGATTGGTGTCTTTTGTCAATATTGGAAAATTCTCAGCCATTGTTTTTTTTCACCTCAAATATCACCTCTGCCCCATTTTCTTTTTTATGACTTTATGAGCATATAATAGTTGTACAGGGGGATACATTGTGATATTTACATATGTGCTTATAATACATATTAGTTAGATTTACCCCCTCCATCATTCTCCCTCTTCCCCCTTCCCTTCTTAGAAGAATCTCAACAGGTTTCATTCTTCTATTTTCATATATGGATGTAAAACACATCCACCATATACACCCTCATTCCCCTGCCCCATTCTTTTTTAGATCCTCAAGTTTAACTAAATTTATTAGTCCATCTCTCTTTGTCTTATAAACTTTCCATCATTTTGCCTTTTTATGCTATATTTTGGATGAATATTCCTCATCTTTCTTCCAGGTGATGTATTTTTCAGCTATATCTAGTCTGTTATTAAAATCATTTTGGGGGGCTAGAGATGGGAGTCAAGTGGTAAAGGCCCTGAGTTCAAACTCAGTACTGCCAAAATTAATAAATATATGAATAAATAAATTTATTCTTTGGATTTTAATTTCAGTTATTTTGCTTTCATTTCTGAGTTCATTTTGTATTTTGCCAAAAAATTCTTAAGTCTTTTTTTTCTTGCAGATATTTTTAAGCTGGTTTTTTGCTTAAATATAGTAAGCATAATTGTCTTTATAGTCCATAATAATCCTAATATTTTAAATCCTTATGAATCTGTTTATTTGTCTTCATAGGCTCTTGCTTAAGGCATGTTATGTCTTTGTGTCCTTTGGGTATCTTGGTGTGCTGCTCCACTTTGAAAAATTACTTGTAGGAATATTTGATGAGCTACAGTGTGGGTCTGTTTCAGAGGGAATTGGTTTACATTCATGTAACACTTTACATTTGTAGCTCAGGGTTTTGGGGGAATTTTTTCTTATGACGGTATTGGGGCTTGAACTCAGGGCCTCACATTTGCTAGGCAGACACTCTACCACTTGAGCCTCACCACCAGCCATATTGGGAATTTGTACTATAAGGGTTTTTTTGTTGTTTGTTTTTGTTCCTCTCCTCTCTCTTTCTCTGTCTCTCATCCATGAGTTCATTTTTTACCTTAGGAGTTACTGCTATTTTGACTGAGCCTAGTATCTTATTTCTGAGCCATTCCTCTAGTATACCATCTGAACCAAAGTTCACATGTTCTTGCATTGGTAAATGCCTTAGGGCAAAAATGACTTGTGCTCCACTTTACTACCTGGGTTCCTGCTTTTCTTTTGTTTTGGACCCAAGGTTTACTTACTATCTATGCAGCTATTCAGTGCTTTTAGTGTTGTTCTTTTCTTCTTTCCATCATACTTAGTTTCTTTCAGTAGAGAGGTTGATCTGAATAACTGCAACCGTTCTTAGAAGTAGACATCATGCATGTTTCTCATTTTATCTTTTATGTTTATTCTTCTACAAAATCTGAGAACAGGAGGGCAGAACAGGGTTTGCCTGGGGAGGAGGGGGTTAGCACCAGTGGATGGGGGAAGGTGGTGGAGAAAGGGGTAGGAGGATGAATATGGTGCAAACAGTGTATTCACATGTATATAAATGCAAAAATGGTACCTGTTGAACTGTTCCAGGAATCAGAGGAGAGACAGAGAAGGGCGGGGAGTGGGGAATTCAGTATTTGATATATTGTAAGAACCTTTGTAAATGCTACAGTGTACCCACACCCAGCACAACAATTAGAAAAAAAAAATCTACCAAAAAAAAAAAATAGACATGACTTTTTTAAAAAGGACTTTGATATAGTGATGTGAGAGAAGTGACTATTCAGAGGAATGTTTGGATACTTTTACATAGTCAGTGGTTTTATCAAGAAATCTCTAGGACGTAGTGTTAAAAATTGTAATTGGTTGAATCATGTTATTAATAAATTTCTGATATGTGAAGATTTATAATGAATTTGCTGTTTATGAATTTAATTCTTTCTTTGTCAGACCTTAAATTATTTTAACAGGTTGAATAGGACTAAAGTCCCATATAGTCTTTCATTTATATGTAGTTTATTTGTTGTTATGGGGTGGGTTATAAGTGTCTTGAATGTTATGTAATTAAATTTTAGAACTTGGAGCTAAACCTTATAGATCAAAATTACTCACTCTGCCAGAAATGCTTATCCATTATTGCTTGATCAGGATGACCTGGACCCAGAGAAGGATCCTTCCTATATTAGTTGATAACCAACTGTTAAATTAAAATCTTAACAAGAAAATAACTTATTTAAAGACTGGTCATTTTCAAGGTTTATAAATAGCCCTCAAATAACTGACCAAATCCAGAATAAGAATAGTACCATCTTCCACCTTACCTCTTTTGGCTTACTACTTTAAAATCCAAACCTGGTATAAATATAAATTCATTAGCTCTATTAATTGATCATTAAGAGATGCTTTTTTCTTGTTTAGTCATAGCATAAATACTTTTCATTTTACCTCTTTTTTTTCTTACTTATAGTAGAACCAAATGATTTGTACATCGTAGAACCCCTCAAATTCTCTCCAGAAAAAAAGGTAATAGTCTCTTTCTTTTGAAGTTTAGTGTTACTATGTGGTAGTAAATGAAAAAATAGGTTGAAAGGTTTGACATAGCTTTTAAGTAGTCCTTAACGTTTAAGTAGTCAGTTATGGTAATGGTGTAAATGAATGTTTACAGGGGTCAGCAAACTATATGCTCACTGTGGCCCATTTTGTACAATCTGGTATCAGAGAAGCATTTTCTCAGTTTTGAAAGATTGTAAAATAAAACAAAGAAGAATATTTAAGAGAGACCATATGAGACCTGCAAAGCTTAAAATACTACTATCCAATGTTTTAAAGAACAGGTTTGCTGATCCTTGGATGATAGTCATTATTTACTGAGTATCTTATGCATGTCAAGCATAGTGCATGTTCTATTCCTATAATCCTCACAACAACCTGACAATGGTAATAGCCCCACTTTTTAAATGAGAAAACTGAGGCTCAGAGAGTTTGTATCTTCCTTAAATGAGAAAACTCGGTATGTACTTAGGATTTTTTGGCTACAAAGTCTGCTTTTCCATTTTGCCTTCCAATTACGTTAGTTTTGATTAGAGGTAATTTTCTGTAGGTAATAGAATTTGGACTTTAGAGCCAAGTGGTTTAAGATTCAACTCCAACTTGGGCATTTACTACTTTGTAACTTAGGCAAGAAGCCAGATCTCTGAAGCTTGGTTTTCTCATTTAGAAACCAAAACCATATCTTTCAGTGTTAAGAGGTAAGAAATACATGAAAGTAACCAGTATAACATCTGGCACATAGTAGATACTCAGATATAAGTTGTCACTCCTTAAATATGCATTTATAGGTGGCAGGGAAACAAAAGTTTTGGTTGAGTAGTGTTTATGAAATGGGAAGATAATGATAGTGTCTGTGTACAGCATAACTCCATGTCTGGGTATATGTGTATATAATGCTGTTTTACTTTTCACCAGGTGGTGGCACTTTCCTTCCTTAGCTCAGCTCTCTTGGGTGTTTAATAAGATAATTGTTGGAACTCTAATTCCTATGCTTTCTTTTATTTGTGTTATAGAAAAAACGCTGCAAGTACAAAACTGAAAAAATTGAGACCATAAAGCCTGCAGATCCATTGCACCCTATAGCCAATGGAGATATAAAAGGAAGAAAGCCCTTTACGAACCAGAGAGATTTTTCTAATATAGGAGAAGTTTATCACTCTTCTTACAAGGGCCCTCCATCTGAGGGAAGCTCAGAAACTTCATCACAGTCAGAAGAGTCCTATTTTTGTGGCATTTCAGCTTGCACAAGTTTGTGCAATGGACAGTCCCAAAAAACAAAAACTGAGAAGAGGGCTTTAAAACGAAGGAGATCTAAAGTCCAAGACCAAGGAAAATTGATAAAAACTCTAATACAGACTAAGTCAGGATCATTGCCAAGCCTGCATGATATAATCAAAGGAAACAAAGAGATCACCGTGGGAACATTTGGTGTTACAACAGTCTCGGGACATATCTAAAATTAATTTGATTTTTTCATACTGGAGACTTTTTTTGTTGTTCTTTGAAGAACAGTCTGTGGTATTTGAAGGGTTGGGGGTGGGTGAAAATATTATTGGGAAAAGTATTGAGAAATTATGGTTTTTTCCTTTTTAAAAAGTAGACAGGATTGTGTCAATCTTGGTTAATGAGCTACAGTTTTACAAGGCGAATCACTTCCTTAAAAAAGACAATGGTAGACATTTTATAAAGATGTTTTTTTCACAGGTTAATTACTAGGACAAAAGTAATTTGGAAGCCCAGTTCCTTGGGTGAGATAGGAATGAAAGCCGAACCTCTTCCTTTAGCTTTGTTCCTATTTCTTGCACCTTCCCATATTTATGTGCCTTTTGTCTATTTATAATGCCACTGGAAGAGGAGGGAGAAGTTTTCTGTCATTTGATTTCTTTTGTAACTTTGTTAGGTTTTTGAAGCTGCAAACACTACAAGGCTTTAAGATGATCTGTGCCTGAAGCTCAACAATGTGGATCAAACAGTGTGAGGATCCTGAAGACTGGCCAACAAGATCTCTGCTTAGCAAACTCATTAGAAGGAAACACTTGATATGACTTGTAAAGTCTGTTCCTTTAGTTAAATGGCGATGCTCTTAATGTTGTTTTCATTTCACTTATTTGAACTGGATTACTTTTTCCTTAGTTAATAATTCAGTGAGCGGAAAAAAGCTATAAGATCCTTTCTTACACATGGCTGGTATTTGCAAACAAATGTTTTATAAGTTCACCTTTAAACACATTTAACCATTTGTCAGGTTTTCTTTAACTACATTACATTTTAAACTTTCGCAATAAATACTAATCCTCCAAACTTTCGTATCACTGTGAGACCAGGTCTCATCTGATATAATCACTGCCTACATACATATGCACAGAACCAGCTAGTGAGTTTGTCAAGCCTTTTCTAATTGGTCAAGTCTAAATGGATTATTATTCCTTCATGTTTGCTTTGTATTGGCTACAATGTGCAGAGATAGTTATCTGTGATGTCAGTATGTCTGTGTTAGTTTGCCTTTCTTTCCCTTTAAAAAATAATGGGCCTTGACTGTATTTGAGTAAAATGATTCTTAGTGTGTGATTGTACAGTAATGAGTGAAAGTGAAAAATACTTCTTTTTGAAAGAGAATTGACCATTTGTGATGTGAGATTTAAGTTATAACTTATTGAGCACTTTTAGTAGTAACTTTTTTTTAACTTGTCTAATACCTTTCTTGGGGTATTGTTGTAATGTGACTTATTTAAAGCCTTTTTTGTTTAAGTTGCTGCTTTAGGTTTATGGTATGTTTTAGGTGATTAATTTTTTTTCTTTCCAGTCTGCACAATTAGCCATTCAGAGCAAGGGGACTTGATTATATAGAAGGCCCTTGGAAGAGGTCCAGATAACAGCAGAGGTAGAACGGGAAGTCACGCCATCTGCGTATTGTGGAAAGAGGACTTTCAGTATGTAACTACGGAGCTGTAGTGCCATTAGAAACTGTGAATTTCCAAATAAATCTGAACACTTGTCTTTATTAATTACTGGCTTTTCTGTCCTTTGAAAGGGAACATACAACTGTATTTCTAATCTTTGAATGAACATTTTAGTTTTTGCCATTTCCAAAGCTAAATTACAACAGCATCCCTTTAAATGTTGATCATTTTCTTCCAGCTAAAAACTGTACTTTCACATAAACATTTTGTTCCCTGTATAATCATAATTTCACCTTTTCAAATACTAAGATGATAGTTTTAAATGTTAAGTAGAATGTTTAATAGAATGCTTTCATTGAGTATTACTTTTCCATATCTAAATACAGCTTAACATTTTACATTTTGGTGTTTATTCTGTTGCAGTTATAACTGTGTGAGAGGAAAAAAAAACCCTTAAGGAGTAAAACTCTTGTCAACAGTAAATTTGTGTCTGGTAAGAAGCAAACACTGATACAGATTGAACATCCCTAAGCCAAAATCCAAACTGCTCTAAAATCAAAAACTTTTGGAGCATTTGGATTTTTTGAGGATTTGGAACATTTTGGTTTTCAGATCAGAGATCCCCACTCAGTACACATGCAAAAATTCCAGAATCCAAAACATATCAAAATCTGTCAAAACATGTTAAAATCTTCTGGAAGCACTTTGCCGCCCCTTTCTATGGTCCAATATAAAGAGAGCCCTACTACAACTTAGGCTTCAAAACCATTAAGGTCAGTTTGGTGCATCTTTGATTCCTATTTATTTACTTTGTGGTTCTGAAAAGTGACCGAGGATTTTGTACATGCTAGGCAAGTACTTTGAGCCATACTCTATTTCCTGTTAATTTTAAAACCACAAGAAGCATCTTATGGCTTGTAACCTTTCTAGACCCATATTCCTTCCATACATCCCTAAAACACTTCCACTGTGCCCTGTGGAACTCAAAATTCCTAAAATATTTTAACTTCTCATAACTTCCCCTTCACCTTCTATTTGAAACTACTTCCCTTGATGCATTTTCAGGAGGTCACTTCACACCATTGAGCCTGGAAATAGATAGTCTGGCTACTGTTCTCCTTGATCTTCCATGCCATTATAAGCCGCCACAGTCCACTTCCTCTAAAATGTCACACTTTGGATCTTCTTTCAACAAATTATATCACATACTATCTCTCCTTTCATATGAACCTGTTTTTTCTCCTGTGCACTCTGGGATCATTCATTCCAGTACTGCTTTGTCATTGTTCTTGATATTTCAATGTCCTACATTTTTTTTTTTTTTAGTTTCTCAGTCTCCCTTTTCCAATGATCAAATTTTGTTGTTACCAATATCCATAATCCTTCCTTAATACCAATTTCAAGTATCCACCTTTGACCCCCACTTCCTATTTTTCTAGTTTATTACCTCCTCATTTCCCAACTCTTAATAATTTACAAGTTCAAGTCCAGCCTGGACTACATAGTGAGACCCTGTCTCAAAAAAGGGAAATAAAATTGCTCCCTTTCATATACTGTCAGCTTCTTTGCCTGTCTTTTGCCTTTATATGCTTGCTAAGAAAAGCTAACCCCTGGTTAAATTAAACTTTCTGCTACTGCACACCCATGTCCACAAAGCTAAGACAGGCCAGGGAGAATGACTGTGTCTGTTCTCGTGTCTGCTGATCTCAAGTACGCCCTGAATGTTGCTGACAAACACACTACATTTTCCTAGTGTGTTGATTGATTCTTCTGAACAGTTTCAGACTTCCTGTCCCAAATACCCACTTCTCTTTGATCTAATTGTCAGCTGATAACCTTCCCACACTGCTGAAAAAAAAGTTACCCAGGAGCTCTGTAGAAGCTTCCATTGCCACCTTCTAGCCATAAGACCTGCCTTTGCTTCTGTTGCTCTGGAAGAACTGTCCCATTAAAGCCAGTGCTCTGCTTATGGACTATATTTCACTACATTTAATGTAAGGGTGTCTGAGGACATTTTTTTCATTTTTTTTCTCTCCTGCATTGTCATTTCCCCCTTTTGAGTAGATCACTTATTGGCACACTAACGGTGCTATTACTTCCTCCCACCATAAACCCTCTTGATGCACTTCTCCCTCTAACATACTGCTTAATTCTCTGTTCTACTTTATATCAAAACTCACTGAAAGAGGTGTCTACCCTTCACTGCCATCAACTTCTCACCATCCTTCCTTGAACTCCCTTCACTTGGATCATCGACCTGACCAGTCTACTGACCAACTATTTTTGTTGCTGTTTTGAGATACCTTGTTAAGTTGCTCAGCTTGGTCTCTTGACTATTCAATTCAAGCGATTCTCCTGCCTCAGTCTTCCCAGTAGCTGGGAGTACAGGTGTGTATCCCTCTCCCAGTTTTATCACTCTACTGAAACTCCTTGTCAAACACATCAATGATTTTGTGTTGCAAAAACCAGTAAACAGTTCTCAGTTCTCACTTGGCCCATCAGCAGCATTTAACTTAGTTGAGAATTCCCTTTTTGCAGTTTTGAACAACTCAGGTTAGGGGAGTGTTACCCCCACTTGGCAGTGGAAAATCTACCTATAACTTTTGAGTTCCCATAAACCTAATCTGACTGGAAGCCTTACTGATAACAGACAATTAACACTTTTTTTTTTTTTTTTTTTTTTTTGCAATACTGGGGCTTGAACTGAGGGACTCCACCTGAGCCACTTCACCAGCCCTTTTTTTGTGAATGGTTTTTTTCAAGATAGGGTCTTGCAACTATTTGAACCTTGATCCTCCTGATCTTTGCCTCCTGAGTAGCTAGAATTAAAGGAGTGAGCTACCAGCACCCGGCTAACACATTTTGTATATTCTGTATAATATGTATGATGAAATGTGTATGAGCAGTGTGAGAGATTACTTTTTATTGCAATACACAATTTACTAGCATCTCAGTATTTAAGTGAATGCTCATGACGCTTGACCACAATAACAACCAGAAGTGGCTCCAAAATTCTTACAGTAGTATGTTATGTACTGTAGTTTATTTTACGCAATTATGATTGATTAGTGCATCTTTACATCTCTTTACATTTCTCATGACTGCCATTGGCACTATGTGCAAGTTTTATGTAAGTTTTGATAAAGTTTAACTTTTTATAATAGATTGGTATATGTTTTGTAATAAATGATAAACTATTATCTACATATACTTTATGCATTCATGACATACCAAAGTTCTTATTTTTTAAATACTTCTAGACTCTGCACTTCATCTGGGAGTTGTTTCAAATTATGGCAAATCTCCAAAGATAAATTCTCATGTAGGTAGATCCATGTCAAATGTTGGCTTATTGGACACTGCTCTTTTCTTCAGCAGCAATGGTGACTCCTGGTGTCTTTCTCTTCTTATCTCTTAACATTGAAGCACTCCAAAACTCAATTCTAAGAACTCTGTTCTGTATTCATCATTCACTTCCTATGTTAAGTACTCCCATCTTTATTGCACTGTTTTAGGATTTTCTCTACTGTTCCCATTGATGTTTAAATCTTTTTCTAAGCCAAAGCTCACTGTTTTGTCTACACATAATTATTTCTCTAAAAACACAGTAATCTATAGCTCAATGAATACATTAAGAATTACCTTGTCAAATTCACTAGACTTCCTTTTGAACATCTGCTTTTAATGTATTAAATATATAAATGGATATGTGAAGAAATGTTTATTTTATGTTATGGAATCTGCTTATGAAGGAATATAGTATGTCTCCACTTATTAAAGTCTTTTTGAAGCTTTTTCAAGTCTCTCCTTAGAGGCGCTGTAATTTGCATTCAATTTTTCATATATTTGTTCTTGTTTCTACTATGAGGTTTCTCTGCCCCCAGTATATTTTCCAATGACTTTTGTTAGTCATTGGAAAAAACTAAAGAATTTTATTTAAACATATTCTATAACACCTTGCAAAAATTCTTTCAGGATTCTATTCATTTTTTTTTTCTCAGTTGATTCTTAGATTTTCCAGATATTCTAAACATTACGTTTATCTCCTTGGTTCTGTACTCATTCCTTTAGTTCCTTTTGCTCTTCCTTTTACATTCACTAGGACTTCCAAAACAATGTCAGGACTAGTGGTGCCAGCAGGCATCCTTTTCTCATTTGTGACCATAAATACAGGATACTTTCGAGTTTTTCTTGAGTAATGGTGAACTGGCCTCTTTAAAGGGATCCTAAGAAAGGTTTGGTGTAGAAAAGTTCTTAGCTGACATTTTTATGAAAGTTGTGAATTTGTAAGTTTAAGTAGTATATTTAACAAGTAGGACTGGCCCAGCTTGTTTTCTGACCCCTCAGTGGGACTAGTTCCACCCTTGCTTCTGGATTACAAATTAGAACTCACTACTCTGGGCAGTGTAAATTACAAAACAATCTCAAGCTACCATTTAGAATTTCCATTGCCAGATAATAAGCAAAACCCTATTTCATTCCCATTGAGTTGCTCTGATCCCAGGTAAATATTGAGATAGGTTGGAAACCTAAGTGACAGGGAACATGGCTGGCATCTCTTGCCGCTTTGTTCATTCTTTCTTCCCTCACTTGCTAACTGAAGTTCTAGACACCTCCAGGCTGGAGTGGGGGTTGGGGGGAGAGAGATAAAGGGAGCAAGAAAATTCTTACTTGCCTGATTCTAAGATGAGCTCAGGCTGTTTGGGCCTGGCAGACACTTAAAGATGGCCTTTTCTTTTTCTCTCATGGACATAGCTGAGGGCTTTCTGAGGAAGCTTCTCATGGATTTTTCTCACCTGTGTTTCTATGTATAGATACAAAGTCCCTGACTAATCACTTATTCCTTTCCCAACTTCTAGATCAAGCAATGCTTCTAGCTTCTTCCTTCTGAGTTCTGTCTGCTCCTTCAAGCAGCCCTATTATACTCAATCCAACTCCTGCTTCAGGACTCTCATTCACATGTGGTCCATATTTGTCTCCAGAAAATATGCATCTTTGGCCCACACACTGTTTGAATGCTTATATTATGTGCTGGTGTGAAATGTTGTGGGCTGGCATCAAGGGTTCTTGCCTTCACAGGCCAGAAAACTGGCTTTTGAGGCAGC